GGGTATGAGGGGGCCAGGAATGAAACTTCGCTTTCATGCATACACGTCGTTTTCTTCGGGCCTATGATCTCAGACGGGTAGCCGCCATGTTGTGGGCACACGGATCAATTTTGGATTTATAATGAAGTGCTAATAATGTTGTTTATGGGATTCGGAGGATATAGTAGTTGAGGGTAACATCCTCATTTTCTGTTATCGCTGGCACGCCACATGAGTGATTTTTTCACCAGTTGGTGAAGACTTGTTCCTGCATCTAGTTTGTCGAGTACTTTCTATATCTACTTTCATGCATGAGCATGACTAATTAGCGCTGATGTATCGTGATTTGGCTTTGCACCAGCAATCTTTTCTCACAAGAGAAAAACCATGTCTTGAAGGTAGTGTCTTGGCAGAATTTCGTTTTACAGTTTTCATCTTCTTCTCGCCATGAGGAAATCATATGTGGGCTTTTCTGCGCATAAAAATAGCGAAAATGAGCATTTCCGAGGCTTTCCAAATCCGCACTCAGTGAAGGTACGCTGGTGGTTTTTCGCGCCCCGCCTCCCCCATTCCGAACGCCGCCTACTTACACGTATTCTCCACTGAAAGCGGACCTGTAAAGCTTCGAATAAAGCTCATTTTCGTCGTTCTCATGCCCTGAAAAGCCCAAATATGGGTCCCTCAAGGCGAGGAGGCTCCGAAAAGGTGAAAAACTGGAAAAGGAATTTTTGCCGAGACACAGCCTTTGATCCCTATTCTCTCAGAAAGCAGCAAAATTTTTAGTCTATGTTCATGAGGTACTAACATGCAACTCAGGCGGGTGCAGACACGATGGTCCCACCTGGTGATGGAACAGATTCGGAGACAATGGAGCTAACATCGGGTACTGGTGCACCCCCGCATACTACCGGACCGCTTTTCCATAACTTTGGGTGGGTGTGGTATGGTATAGATCCGTGAAGTAGTGAACTCCTGCTTGTTCTGTGTTCCCTCCTTTTGCTTATGCATCGTCTTGTGCGTCACCCTGCATGACGTCTTTGAGCACCCTTCAAAATTTCTTGAAAGAAGGAGGATCAACTCATATTCTTTTATTCTCCAAAATGCTTAGCAAATTAGCAAATTCTGTACCTTAGAGAATCCAAGAGTGTGAGTTTTTCCTCTTTGATAATTGTGTTAGTCTGCACAAGAAATAATGCT